GTGTCAGGTAATCTGGGTTAATGTACCGGACCCCAGGCTGCTCTGCAGTGTCTGTCTGACTGGCACGGTGGCCGTGTGTTTCAGTGTGCCAGATGTCTTCTGTGTTTCAGGCAGTGAGTTGTCACCAAGATGTGAAGAGCTGGGTAATAGCAATTTGTCATGAAAACCCAGCTAATGATGAGCTGTGCAAACAGCAGCAGAACCTGTAGCTTTTGTATAAACTATGATGAAGTATCAGCTTGCTCAAATTCTGATAAATATATGCAGAGGAGTTACGGTGTGGGTTTTATTTAAATAAGGTACTGTAAAAGATGGAGTACTTAAACTTATGAGCAATTCAGAAATATGCTTTTAAAGCTGCTGCTTTAAATGCTGCTAAAATGTTATTCAGAGACTTAGGTATTGTGAGCAATATGTAGTGTAACTTTCTAAGCCTTTTCTGATGTATGCTCTTTGTGCCTCAGTTTGCTTTTTAAAGTTTAAATTCTTTTAGATGTATTTGGGAGTTTCAAGTGAAAATATGTAGCTTCAGCAACGCACCTAAACTGTTCAGATCTCCTAGATGTTTATTACTTGTTCACTGCATGCTTTCCAACGCTGGAAATGCTTCAAGTGGAGCTGTGGCTCTATTAGAATATCTGACCTAGGGGAACACAGCGTAGGTCTCCAGATCCATGGGATTCTTGAATAATCTTGATTCCATCATCTGTAAATGAGATAATAATTTCCCATCTTAGAAGCATGTTGTGAGGTAAAAATGTTCATTTTAGGTGCATGAGTGTTACAGAAACAGAGCTTGTATAAAAATTAAGAATCAGGGAAGTCACATTCAGAGCGTAGCCTGGAGCTTGCAGTTGTGTCTGTGCTCGCAAAACTTCGATGTTGGTAGTGTCTTTGGAAACATTTGGAAATGTGCATGCAGTGAGGCTGTTTTCAACTGGAAAATAACACAAATGTTCTACTTTTTCATAGGTTTAGCTATGGAAGCTAGAAGAACTTTAAAACAGCAACTTTGCTGCTTAATGACCAAAATCCAGTTAGGACAGACAGGTAACTTTGAATATTAAGATTTATTGAAGACAAAGATTAAATAAAATAATTACTAGAAAGAATTATAGAAAATTTCTGATCTTACATTATAGTGGCAAGTTCCAAAAATAGCTGAGTATAATAGGAAATCTTTAACAGGGAGGAAAATCTGGGCTTCTAGTGTTCTCCTCTCTGGTTTGTTTTTTTTTTTTTGGTCTTTGAAGTGGTAAAAGAATCCCAACCTACCCTGTAGTTCAGACACTTGAAAACTCAAAGCAGCTCCTCTGCATTAGTGCTCATTGAGTCAGTGAGCTCAAAATACCTTTACTAGGATGTTACATGATCCACTATATTAATATTTAATAATTATAATATACCTTTGCTTTTCTTAAACAGTATAATGGCTCCTAAGGAGGAGTATTCTGGAATAATTATCTTTACTTGCTTTATAAGACTAAATGTAAGCTTTTGCTTGCTCTAATGTATCCATCAACAGACCTGTTCTGAAACTAAGCCAAGAATCGAAGTGGCTCCTTGTAGCTTAACCCTGCTGTGCAGCCGAGCACTTGGTAGCTGCTGCCTGAGAGTGATGGGGAGAGAACTGGAAGGGTAAAACCTAGAAAACTTGTGGGTTGAGATAAAGACAGTTTAATAGGGAAAGCAAAAGCCAGACATGCACAAGCAAAGCAAAACAAGGAATCAATTCACTGCTTCCTATGAGCAGGCAGGTGTTCAGCCATCCCCAGGAAAGTAGGGCTCCATCATGTGTAACTTACTTGGAGACAAACTCCATAACTCTGAATGTCCCCCTATGTATTTCTTCTTTCCCCAGCTTTATAAGCTGAGCGTGATGCCATGTGATATGGAATATCCCTTTGGTCAGTTGGGATCTTATGTTCTGGCTGTGTGCCATCCCCAGTTCCTTGTGCACTCTCAACCTGCTCATTGGTGGGGCGGTGTGAGAAACAAAAGGTTTTGACACTGTGCAAGCACTGCTAAGCAATAACTAAAATATCTCTATGTTATTGTCACTGTTTTTATCACAAATCCAAAACATATCACCATGTGAGCTACTATGAAGAAATTTAATTATCCGAGCCAAAATTATATATATATAGCTCTGTACCTACTTTCTGTGCTGTACTAATCCATGGCCACCATTGAACAGCTATGTCAGCCTTTTCAGAGAAGGAGTGAAGTAACTCAGTTACCTTGGCAGGATAGTCTGCAAGGCTTGATGTTTTTTGGGAGGGAAAAAAAGCTTAGTAAAAAATAATTCCAAAATGCAGAAGATCCATTTTCATTACATCAATCTCATTCTTCCCCATATGAGTAACAATCCAGCCTTCAGACCAGTCCTAGAGATCTTCTAATCAGCAATCTGCTATAATGCTGTTACAGATTTGCATGTCTGCCTGTTCTAGTGCCTTACTTTTATTCTGTCAGAAAAGGTGCTCTGTTGATCTTACTGATCTGATTTTGTATGTTCAGAGAAAACACAACATCCTTTTATTTAAGGCCATCAAGCTTACTGGAAAATTGTAAATAAGGCTATTTCATAGATCTCTTGGCATAGGTGGCATAGTATTGCTGTGTGTTGTGATTTTAAGAAATCTGTTTTGTTGTGTGTTGACTTTTTGGAGCTGTATGGAAGGTCTCTGATAACAGAGAAGCATAGTCTCAAAGCAATGGGAATTTGAGATTGTTACTGAGATCTCATTAAGCTAAATATTCTTTGCGTGTTATGTTTTAGAAGATGTTCACCAGTCCCAGGGCAAAGAAGGAGAGGGAAGACCTGTTGCTTTTGATGAGACAAGGGTGATTACCAGAGCCCACTGAAGCACTTGAGATTTGAGATAGATAGATTTAACAACAGAGGCCCCTTTGGTTGCTCTGTAGATCAGTGTTTGTCTATGCACAGCAACTCTCCTGTTTTACCCACCAAAGTGAAGGCAAGGGAGATCTCTGAACGTGTATGAGATTAGGCTGTGTACGTAGTTTCTCTGCAGAAGAAATGGTCCATGCAGGTAGTGGATGTTGAGATGTTAGCCTCTTGATATTTGACTGACATAGTGCAGAGCAATTGGATTGAACTGAGAAGTGGCTTTAGCATTTTGATAAACTTCCCAGAATAAATGTATCTTTTCCATTCGTCTTACTCTCCTGTTCCTGGTCCTCATGTGCTGAACATCAAAAATTGCCCTCCCCTTTTTGTTTCCATTTTTTTGTCTTAAAATTTTTCATGGTAAAAAATGGAGACTGTGAATCTGCAATGATATATACTCTTGCAGATACTTTTTTCTTCATACTTTTTTTAAAACCCTCTCAGATAAATACATAGTCATTTCTGTCAATATTTCTAACTTGTGGCAATGTATATGTTCTTTATAAGGACACCAAAGCAGTGCCTAGAGAGGGCTCTAGGCTGAAGTTCAGGTGTAATCAACCTCTTCATAACAAAACTGTCCTACTGCAGGGGAAGAAGTAAGACTGTGGTTCCTAGAAATTTGGTTAGACAGCATAATGCCACCAAAAGAAACCCTGACAAAACACTGAAGAGCTGCACAAGTCAAAAAGAGTTCTATGCACCGGTACAGTGTACCAGTCCAAGACAGTCTCTTTTCCAATAATAGTTCCATACTCATTTCTGAATGCAATAGTCATGCAAGTGGTTTGTTTAGCTTCCTATTTTGTTCTTTTTGATTTGTAAATCAAAACATCCAATTTATTTTCAACTGTATTTCTACAAAATTACATGTCTTGAATGCCCACTTACTTGATTGCTTGAAAGCTTTCATCTGTAGAGTTTAGCTGTTTAATTTGCGTGCTTTTGGTTGATTTTTTTGAATTTTGAGTTCAGCTTTGAATGTACTGCATTACATTCACATTGTTTTTATTTTAGTCTATCTATTTCGCTTTGGGTGCATAAAAGGTTTCTGTCTAATATTTTTTTTATTGCTTAAAGTATTCTTTCTATTTTCTGCTGGTTCCTGCCTGTGCATGCTCTTAAAAGACATCAGCTAGACCAAAGAAAATTCCTTTTGTTCTTTTGTATGTGTGTGCATGCCATTTTGAGATAAGGTGTGGAGTTAGGTAGCAGAGACTATAAAGAGGAGTTTTGGCTTTTGCAATGTTTTGTTTTGAATGCTCTCTCCTTTTGTTTACTTTCTGCTTGCTTACCCCTTTACCAGCAGTACAATTACAGCATTTCCTCCCCTATTTTTATTCTTGACACCTGAGAGCATAGGAATATGAAGCATGACAAGGACATTACCTCTGCAATATTCAAATAAGCATCTTTTGTCCTACAGAAATTTTAGAAGTCTGCAGACTACTACCAGCCTGAAGAAATCCAGGACTTCTTTCCTTGAGCTGCTGACAATGTGTAATTTAGGGGTGTCTTTATTTAGTACCTCTACTCTGGGTTCCAAAGCAGACTTAACAAAAGGAGATAAATTCCCAAAACTCTAGTGTGTTAATGGGAATGTTCTTCTGATTCGTGAGATTGATGAATAACACAGTTTAAAAAAAATATTTAAAATCCCATCATGTTGTAGGACTTTGGTTTTGTTCTGATATAAATGACTCAGTTTAGTGAAGTATTGCAAGAGTAGAAGGCTGCTTAATAGGGAATTTATGCTTCACAGCATGGAGATTTCATGAAAATAGATCAAGTTGGTTTTGGCAGCACAAAGTGACATTATATTATGGGCAAATAAATTGTTATTTTGGCAAAAGATGAATGGTATCAGTAAAATGTAACAACCTAATTAAAAGTGGGGTCAGATTCTTGTATAGGATAGGTAAATGTGTACTGAAGGGGTGAGAGGGAAAAACAGACAACTGTTTAAGAAGAGAGGAAAAACTGCTCTTAAAAGATAAAAAAATGTATAAGCGTATTTCTTTAAAAAAAACCCCAAAACCAACTCCCCTTCAAAAAAAAACCAAACCCTTGTTTGCTTCTGTTTTAGAAAATCTAATGAGGCCCCTTAAGAACTATGGAATCGCATGGTGAGCATATGTTTTAATTTAAATCTAACTTCTTTTCAGATACACTTGATATTGTGCTGGAAAGCTTAAGTTTTTGCATTGTTGTTTCAGCATGTCTATGGGTTTCTTGATAGAAGAGACTACCCCGGTTGTGTGGAGAGGGCTCATGGTAATGTCAGCTGTTGAAAAATTGTTGAGACAGGTAAGGACTTAGGTACATATTTATGTTTCAAACTAATCAGTTATTTTAAAATATATTTAACTGATACATGAGTGTCCATGACATTATTTCATATGTTAGTGGTGAGCATTTTCCTATCTTGGTCTTCATAAATTCTTAAGAATTTACTCTTAACTTCTGGTAACGGTACTTTTGCATTTACCTATCCCCTTCAAATAGAGCTGTTGTTACATGCATTTGATGAGTGAATTGCCCCAATTTGCCTGCCTTCTCATTCCATTTTATGTTTCTTTATGCATGAAAAAAAAAAAGGCATTTTGAAGTTGCCTGAGGACTTGAATGTATAGGTATCTGTGCATATCTACAGCTGTATTCCCTTATGTGCTTGTTAATTCACCAGCACTAAGAATTCCTAGATGGCATTTGACATGTGACAAGTACAGGAAAATGCAGATAGATCGTTAGTTAATAAACTTCCTGGCATGTAGAAGCAGGGTGGCTTTTTTATTTTTTTGACAGGGTTTTTTTTTCTTTTATTGTGAATAGGTCTGTGAAGTGCTAATGAGACAAACAGCTGAAAAAATGCATTAAGGTTGTGTGTTTAGACTTTGAAGTGACCCAAATTGTCCACAGCTGACATCCATTTTAGGGATCTAATGTCTACAGCTTGGAGATCACAAAGTTTCTGTATGTCGTCTTTAAATGCCTACAAGTCTTATGTTCCTTTAGCAACTGAAAAGAATATTTTTTCCAGCCTTTTTCCATTTTTACAGAATTCTCCTCTAACATGGATTTTAGAATAGTGGCACTCATTACTCTAGTTAGAAAAGCCAAAATTTTGAGAGGAACATCTTTGTCTAGAATTGGCTTCTGAAAGTAAGGGGTATGATGGCAACAGCTGTGGAAGGCTGTTCTGACCTCTTTGTGTGTTGCATTGCACTGACCAGGCTCACAAAACCAGAATGTAAAGCCTTGAAGGCAGAGCTAAAGTTAGCACCTGCTGTATTGGCATGCTCAGCCCTGAGAGAGTGAAGACTGGCAGGCACTCCAGTACCCTTACGTCAGTCAGTGGTATCCCCAGGTGGGAAGCCTGTGCCATCATTCTTGTGGAGGGTGTGGATGATGCCGTGTAATGAGCTTGTTGCTCCCTAGCAACCAGTGATGCAGATACATGCTGTCTGACCGTGCTGTGGGAATGAAACAAGTCCATCAATGCTCAGGGCATCGCTGATTTGCCTGAGAGTGGAACCTGAATTCTGAAAGAAGAAGGTTTTACAGCTAAATTTCTTCCCACATGCATTTTGCTTCTGCATGATGACCAGGATAGTCTTAAATTTGTACTGGAAAAGGTTGTTTGAATCTACTCCTTCAAAGAAAGAAGCTTACAGATCAGAGGGAAATGCAGAAGGTCTATCAGATGTACAGATGGTTTTTAGAAAAGAAATAATGGATTTTCCAGACTGAGACATGCTATTTTATTTTTAAAGCTGTACTCTCCCTTCTGATGTGGCTACTAGTCAGTCTCAAGAAGAGGTTAACTGTAGGACCAATAGTTTTATAACCTTGGACACCTAACCAAGAGAGAACAACAGCATGTGATGATGCTTTTAAAGATACTGTCATTCCATTTTATATTAGTAGTTTTGTGATTTGTTGGGGACTTTGAAAATTTTTCTTGTTTTTTTCTTTATTTGTTCTGGTTGGTCTTAGCTATTAACTTTTGTTTGACCGGATAAAGTTGCTTCTAAGAGTAAAATACTTCAGCTTGTATTTAACTTTCTAAAACCATATTTTTAAGAAATAGCTGCTTTGTCTCATTAGCTGCATAGAAACCATTTAAATTAGCTCCCTAATCTAGATTTGTAGGATAATATATGTGTAAGGGGCCCCTGTGCATTCAGGCAGGCTGATAAAATATTAAGTTCTTAAAATAATTAATTCAACCAGATAGAAAACACAGAGGTTCCTAGACTTCTGTGTTAGAATAATTCTTGGTATTTTATAATTTTTTGTTGTTGTTGTTATGTGATGGAGAGGTTTTTTATTTGTTTTAAGAGCATCAAGACTATGTGTTCACTCTGTAAATAACTTTGGATGCTTGTTTGGTTTTTTCCATATGAACAAATCTGTTTTCCAGAGTTTGTCATGCTTCAGGTACTGCAGTAAAGCATTTGAAGTTCTCAGCTTCCAAATTAATTTATGAGGATTTGTTGACTCATAATTGATCTGTGCCTGTAGTGAGTATTTAAATGCTTTTGTTTTGCTTGGAAGCTATTTAAATTTCTGAAATTCTTGCTTTGGAAAATATATTTGTTAAATATATATGTTATACTTTGTTATACTGCATGTAACCTCACTCTTTGTAATACATGTATATCTGTCCCTCTTTGGTGCGTGAACGGCTTTTCAGCACAGTCTAGAGTCCAACCTCATTATTGTCTCTTGTCAATTCTACTTTCATATGGCCAGATTGTATGTCACTTTTCAGATAAGATGTCACTTTTAAAATCTAGGCTCTCCTTTTGCAACATGTCTAATCTGAGAAGGTACCTTGGTTCCTGTGTTTGTATGGTGTCAGACTGGTAGATAACAGGCAATAATGTTGAAGACCAAAAGTAATGCTTGGTGTTTCACTGGTGATCCATATCTCGTGAGTAAGAGTTGTTTTCTGGAACACATCATACTGTTTTCCTTCAGCACAGTTTGAAGGAAATATGCCTTATAATAGAGTTAACAGTTTAGAGTACTATATTACATGCATTACCTCTATATTGATGTGTTTGTGTCAAATTAGTATATAAATGGAAAAATATAGCATACTGCTTCTATAACAAAAGTATTGGTCAATGGAAAAGAAGGACAGTGATGATTTTAAGTTGTTGAAAGAACAAGAAATACGTAAGGAAATTATTTTTCATCTGTAGCAGAAGTGAATTAGGAACAGTAATAGAATATTTGATCTGTATAAACATATTCATAATTATTTCCATTAAATATGTTTCTAGTTTACATGCCTTGAAATTATCCATAATTCTGTTGTGGCTAAGAAGTGACTTCTTTGTTAACATAATTAGATGTACTGTAGGCGCATTTACACTGCAGGGTGGTCTTTGTCACTTGTTTGGGTTTTACCTTTTCTTATTTCCCTGTCACAGTTATCTTCACGTAAAAATTCTTTCACCTCTGTTATCACTTCCTTTGAATCTTGCTTGTCTGTAGGTGAGATAGAGGGTTTTTTTGTTTACTTAAATTTTAAAAGGTAGTTCTTTTCTCAAAAGGTATAATATAAGCCCAGGTAAGGAAGTTTTGATCATTCTCCAGTGTCATCTATAGCACTGAGCTTTATCAATTCAGTTTTCACTTCACATACACTTCAGAAGCTGCCTACTCTTTTGTCTAGCCCTGTTTAGCACTTGTTCCTTCATTCTGTGTGTCTTGATTCAGTGTTATGGTATTGGGTTCAGATTAAACAAGCTACCTCAAAATGTATCATCTTGGCGTATTTGTTGTGGAAGTGATTAACCTTAGGCTAAGTACAGTAAAGATAGAATTTTTTTGAGAGTCACCTAAAGCCTGTACTTGAACAGTAATGTGTCTGAAAAGCTCTGTTGAAATAAGTATCAAGTAGACAGCTAAGAATCTTAGAAATATAAAGATTATTAAAGAAAAAAAAAAGAGAAAAAGGCAAGCAAAACTTGTTCTCTGATTTGAACTGTTTTTGTGACAAGGATTTCAAATAGTCATTACCACTGTCCCATACAGTCTGTATGGTAAGTTTTCTAGTACCATTCTCATTTTTTTTCTGAGGACATCTTGACAGGTCAGTGGCAAAGGAGCAATTGGAAGGGTGCAGGCATAATCCTGCTGTATGCCTTGCAGTATATTGTGGCAATTATTCTGCCAAAAGGTCGGGAGAGAGGAAGTGAGCAGACTGTGGGTTGTGAGATCTGGGATATTTCAAGAGCCTCTCTGAGAAAGCTGCCATAAAAGCAACGGTTGAGTGAATGGCACAGTAAAAATTTATGTATAAAGATTTGGGATTAAATTAACTTGGAAATAGTAGTAGTATTTAATTTTGGACAGCAAAGACTATGGAGGCTGTATTGTTTTGAGTTTTTGATCAGTCTGAAGTGACTGATCTCTATAGAGGAAATTACACATGTTCAATACTGGTTTTGTTTGACATATTAGCAAATTTTTTTGTACAGTTGCTACTGAGAAGTGTATATGTAGTTACTGGCATTCTTCTTTCCACCATTTAAATTGGAAAGGTTGCATATGTGGATTTGGGGGCAAATTTTCTTTAAATGTGGTTTATTTAGCTATATGTTAATGCTGCACATGGGAAGATAAAAATGGATAAGGTATTGAGAGCAAGTGTATTTATACTCAGTAAAATAGCTACAACTGACTGTTTTACTGGACACATTCTATGCAGCGTAATGTTCTGTATATGGTGCCTGTACACATCAGTCTGATTTCGTTTGGCATGTATATTCATAACACTGTGTTAAATCTTATAAATTCTTCATCCTGTAAATTTGCACAGTTTTGCACCATCTTACATGTCTGTGTGTGTAAATACATTTTTTACTAACAGAACAATGGAAAAACTAGGGAGAAAGCTTTCCAAATGAAGAGGAATAATGTGTATTTGATTTGGAAGAAATACACAACAAAAACATTTTCAGTAAAGCAGTTATATACTACATGCTGAGCCATTTGCCTGATTGATTAGTATGGTTTGCTAAGAGTTGTCCTTCGGCTTCTGTTTGTGTCCATGTACTGTCTTTTTTGTCTCACATTTTTTTTGCATTGGCTTTAGTACTTTACTGCATAGGAAATAGACCTTTGTGAAACTCAGTTTTAAGACATCTGTCTGTCCTCTGTAGTGCGTGGAGAATGATAGATTGATTGTTGTGGGTTTTTTTTTTTTTAAATCTTGCTATCAGTGTCAGCCCTGCATAATTTACAGTCTGAACTGGACTAAGAAAAATTTGAAGATGGTAGAAAAAAGCACC